AGTTTCTGTCATCTCCTTCACGGATGGCCAGGTTTTGTGATGCCTTTTGGGTATTTGCTCACCGTGCCCACTTGGAGCTTGAGTATGTGGCGAGCCTGTCTCTATGATGGATGTTAAGCTTATAGAAATGCACAAAGAAAATTTCTGCAACCCTACTTTGATGGGTACATCATTGCTGTAGACAATCAGCAGCATATGAAGTACTCGTACTGGCTTCACGTCTATGCAAAACACCAAACGTTCATGTCTGAACGTATGTGAGAGCTTGTATCGACCAATGTGGTGCGTATAGACCAAGTCTCCTCTATTGTTACAGTTAGCTCATTTTCCATATCACAGGATACATTAAATTCGCTTGGAGCACGTCAAGGGCAACTGTTTGTGCAGTCTCCTGCTGTTGGGCTGTACAATGTGTTTGAACCAATGTATCTCAGAAACGCTCTTGAGAGAAGAGAGAACAACCTTGGTGGACTTGTATTTGGACAGGAATTATGGTCTAAACTAGGTGATACAGCACCTGACTTGGAGGATCCATTATCCAGTGTGTTACGCGCCAAAGGTAAGTATATTTCTGATTGCCTGTCGATACAGATGGCTACTAAGTTGTTCTGGAGGTATCTCTCTGACAGCAGAGACACATCTCGATCTGCCCATCTATGAGGCCACATTATTTGTGGACAAGACCAAATTACAAAAGGCCTCTGTTCTCTCACATCTTTACTGTGGAGAAAATTCAACAAAGAAGCAGCTGTGGACAATTATCCCAAATTATCCAGAGAATATTGGAAGTCAAGACAGACATACTACAAAGTAAGTGGAGATATCTCATATCAAACATCCTGCTAATCCAAGGAACAGTCTGTGCCTCAACGAGATTACAGGGAACAACAGAACCTCAGAGCTTTTCCACTATATCGTCAACAAGACACACAAGGTTGCTATCGGCTCCCTGGAGTACTGTGCAGTCGCACGAAGAGTCTACCGTCAAGGTGCAGGAAAAAAGAATCCTCTGTACGTATATTGTCCATGCCTAATTTAACGTAGCTAAACTGTATTCTGGTCACGTAGGATCGTTGTATGCCCGAATAGTCCAGCTGTACCACCGACGTTTGCAGCACGTGAGCGTGCTCAGAAGGATAGCATTGGAAGATATAAACCTGGGATGCAAAAGAGTGCATATAAAGGAAGCAACGGTCCAGGTGGATGGGGCGTGTCGAAGTGTGCTCAAGAGAACGAGCAGAATACTCAAGAAGGTAGCAAGGAAGAAGAGATAGATAATATTTCAAAACCTAGAAAGAGGCAACGCCTGAGCGCAGATGCTTGCCTTGTGCTCCAGACTTCTCAGCAATGGATAAAATTAGGATTGAGCTACAGAGTGATGCGCACAACTCGTTAACACCATGAGATCAGTGAAGAGAGGGCCCCAAGTGCGTAGTTGCACAGGCGAAGGACATCTCTTGCCAGTCACGGTGTAGAAGGGTGTGTTGTGTGTATATATATACAGCTGGTTGCACCAAGTCACGCTGAAGGTAACGAGGTATTCGAGGTCCTCTGGTAGCCATCACAGAAATTCCATCTACGGCAAGCAAATCACTGATCGCACGCGCGTCAACAAGCTGGCAGCTCCCTGTTGCAGTACATCGTGGCGGCTCTGCGAAGCAGGTGGAGGCTTGAAGCACCAAATGAAAAGTCCTCGCTGAAGTGGCCTATCGGTTTATTCAGCGTCGTCCAAACCCGTTGAACATGGCTACATTGATTGGCATTATGAGGTCACGATAGATACGAACGAACGAATGATTGACTACGTCACATTACATAACTTAGGTAAGCGCTAGCGCTGGAGCACTTATATTATACCTCGGGCGACAGTTGCTGCCCGACCCGATTGAACCACAACTTTCTTTCTGAGACAAGTCTGTCGTGTTGACGATAAGTATTGCGAGACGGCGTATGTAGCTTCCGAATTGAATTGGTACCTTGTCGCTCTGGGGAGACTATCCGATAGCCCACGCGCAGTGCGCATTGGACAGGGTCCTCCAACGCCCTAGTGGCCAATGCCAAACGCCTAAGAAGATCCACGGCTGATAATTCCATGCGGTGAAGATGCGCATGTTTCTGCAAGTACGTAAATTTCTGGCGCTCTTCCGCGATTCTCTGGCGCATCTTGGGCGATCCGGCCGCTCCAATATCAATGTTGCTAGCTGTCCGTGGTGCGTCGGCCGACACCTCTTACACATCCCACCGAGTCCGCGGGGTCGTGACACACAGGGGAATTTGCCGCGTCCTCTGACGGCTGTTTCAGGTGCGAAATCGGCCAACATTTAGGCAACCAAGAACCAGTTTTTTTAATACAGCTCTCGCTTGGAAAAAGAAAAAGGATAGCACTGGATTTTGCCTAATCCTTCTCGGCACGAAGCTGTTCAAAAAGTGAGTGGTCTTTGTCCAGCCAGTTTTGTCCGGGTTTTGCGAAGAAAAAACCGTGCTTACCACCCAACGCGCGTCACTTCTATCTCCCCCACACAGCCGGTGATACATGATGCATGATGCGGCGGCACCAAGGCGGCACGCTCGAATTTGTTTCAGCGCGCCCAACCGCGCGATACTATTCTCACACGAAGTCTATGCATCGCAATGACTGATCCCGGGCGAAAGCGTCTAGCTGGTAACCATAAAGGGAGTCATGGCGCAGGGCACGCTTCGCTCGTGTATACACCGCGTCTTTTCAGCTATGGGCATACTTGGAGCACGAGTCCCAGACATGTTACTCCGTATGAACAGTCTCTTGATGTCCGTTCACCTCCCTCTTCGTGATGCCATCGCCATCGTGGTCTTTTCCGCCTTAGTGAGTCCCTCTTGCGGTGGTTGAGCTAGCCCTATCGACGCTGACTCTATGGTAATCAGGGAGCGCACGCTATCTTCAAGCGATGGGAGCCCTTGTGCATTCCCATTGTTTCGTCTCTGTTGTTCTTCGCTCCTGCAGCTGTGTCGACACTCCTCGTCTCTCACTTTGGTGTTCCGAGAGGACTTGTCCTAGGCTTCTCGATATATTTCACCACGCTACTTTCATCCATCGTCATCTACCGTATTTCTCCCTTCCACCCGCTTGCGCGGTACCCAGGACCGCTGCTGGCCAAAGTTACCAAGTTCTACCACGTCGCGAAGGTCTATTCAGGGAAGCAACAGCGTTACGCAAAGCAGATGCATGAGACATACGGGGATATTGTAAGAACCGGTAAGATTCATCAAGTACTTACTGAAATGTAAAGAGCTAAAACATGACCAGGTCCCAATGAGGTGATCATACGTGATGCATCGTGTATCACGCCCCTTCTAGGATCACAAGGCTTTCCCAAAGGACCCAGTGAGCTCTGGATAAATTCTTGCAGGGGGCCAAATGGGCTGACATCTCTCAGTGTACGAGGGAAGGCACCTGTGGCCAAAGGTCCCTTCTTTGATTGGCTTGCGAGACCCGAAGGAACACCAGCGCCGCCGTCGCCCGTGGAATCGTGCCTTCAACACTGCTTCTTTGAAAGACTTCAATCCTATCATCCAACATCGTGTACATGAACTGGGTGAAGCGCTTGATGCTAGGCAGGGGGAGGCACTCGATCTCGCAGCATGGGTTGGATATTTTCACGTGAGTTCAGCAAAATTTTTACAAGTTCGCATATGCTGAAATATACTTGTAGGTACGACTTCATGGGAGATTTGGTGTATGTGCGATTGTGTGTCACGAATTTTCGCCAGCTGACACTGTCTGCTAGATACGGTGGATGGACTGAAATGCTGCGCGAGGGTGGAGACCATAATGGTCTCTGGAAGGTTCTTAAATCAGGCATAAAGTATGTCCTCTCGGAGCACCATACCCTGAAACCGTCTGATAAGCTGCATGCCCCTCTCTAGAGCTTCCTTCGTGTATGAGCACATGCCGTGGTTGTCTTACTACGGGAAGATGCTTCCTGGAGGCGTTGACGCCATCAAGAAGATGCATGCAATGGCATTCAGCCAGACAGAGAAACGATACGCCTCAGGTTCCACATCAAGGGACTTGTTCTATTTCTTGGTTTGGATTGGTTTCTTACGCTCTATCAGTACAACCCTAACATCGTAATCACAGGGTAACGAAGATGGTGCGGAGAAGGTCGATCCTCCTAGGTCCTTGGTCATTTCGGACGGTCTTCTTGCCTTGATTGCCGGCGCGGATACCACTAGCACTGTTCTTGCCAGCACATTCTACTGCATCCTGCGCAACCCAGAGGCGTACAAGCGCTTGCAAGCCGAGGTCGACAAATTTTACCCGCCGGGGGAAGATTCGCTCGACCCCAGGCACCTGCCTGAGATGCAATACCTGGAGGCCATCCTGTGAGTGCGGCTCGGCCACCTCTCTGACTACGCTGACCGTGAGATTAGCATGGAGACTCTGCGGCTATTCCCTGCAGTACCGAGCGGTAGCCAGCGTGCACCAGAGATTGGCACGGGCGGGAAGGCCATAGGTCCATAGTGCGTCTCCAGCCTTCTTATCAGGACCCTTGCTGACATGATGGCCCGCAGTTACATCCCCGAAGGGACGCAGACGCGCGTGAGCTTCTTGGGCGTCCACCGCGACCCGCGCAACTTCACGCACCCGGACATGTTCTGGCCCGACCGCTGGCTCATCGCCGAGGGTCTGCAGACGCATAAAGAGGAGATCGTGCACAACCCGAACGCGTGGGTGCCTTTCTCGTTCGGCCCGTCGAACTGCGTCGGCAAGAACCTCGCGATGCAGGAGATGCGCATTCTCGTTTGCCATCTCGTGCAGCGGTTTAACTTCCGCTTCGAGGACGGCTATGATCCCGCGCAGTTTGAGCGCGACATCGAAGATAGGTTCGTTGTCGTTATCAGGCGGTTGCCTGTAGTCGTCGAGCGGAGGGATTAGTGTCTCTACTATCTGCCTTCTGCTGCTTGGCTGGACGTCTGGTTTTGAACGGACGTGTGACCTGTTGTATGTTTAGTGTTTTCACATACTACCCATGTTGTTAAGATTGCTATGAATGCCAGTGGCTTCGCATAGGTATCTTTCGGCGTTCACCTCAAAGCGCTTGGAGGTTTCCGGGGTCTCCAAGCTGACTGATGCGGATGCACGACTGCAGTGTTCCTTGCAATATGCTGACAGACGCGATTTCGACATGAGAATACCTCACGTTTGCCTACAAGAAGGCACACTGAGGTCATATTTATCTGGACATGTATCCGTCGTCACTGGTACGTCGCATTTGAGGTGATACCGTCCTCCGAGCGCTCTGGGACCTCGCCACGATGCGCATTACGATCCTATACCTATATGCCATTTTCACCACACGCGTTGTGGCGAACTCATTGATCGCCCGCTCGAGTGCTCACTGACACGTTTCCTAGTCCGGCCCAGTTCCTGATTCGACATCGCTACACAGTTACACACCATCTTCGCGGTTGGGTGACAACTTGAAGGCCCGTCGGTTTGAGACGGCGAGCGTGTATTAGTGCAGTGTCGAACGCCCCTTTGGACGAACTTGCTCGACTTTGAGAACATGTCTAGGGAATACTGCTCAGTTCGAGTTACGTGCCGTGCATGACGTAGCAACCCGCGAAGATACTCTAGGCACGTATCACAGCCTCGGGCCACCGTGGGCACAGCAAAGAACATCTCACCGACGCAGGTCCAGCGAAGACTCAGCGAAGGCATGTATGTTCCTTGCAAACACAGCACCGCGGTCCATGCCGAGACGTGCGACGAAAATATCTTTCATTTGTCGATGTATGTCGTGTGCTGTGTAAAATATTGGTCCAGCCAGGACCAGTCTACATCCGTGGCGAGAAAGCTTGTCAGAAAGAAGCACCAAGACCACGTCAAACCAATTACAACTTCAAGTACAGTAAGTAAGCTAATATACAATTCCCTGAATTGGTCCTTGGATTTTGAAAACCGTGCACGTCGACAAGAAGAAAACGAAGAGAAAGACAAATTCCGTGCTTAGTACTGGAAGGACTCCCTGACAATAGACGTAACGCCATGCTTGCCAAGCATATCCGACATCCCCAGCTCGAAAGGCCCCGGCCCACACATGTACGTCTTACGGGAAGTCAGGTCCTCCATGCTTGCGAAGAAGCTCTCGGGGATCCTGCCCGGGTGAACATCGCACGTAATCTCGAGCCCGTCCTTGGGCGCCGGCTGCGGGAAGTCAGGCGCGGGCCTGCTCGAAGAGTAGACGTGTATAGCGAGGCGGAGGTTCTCCGTCCCAGTGCCGAGCGACTCTGCGATGAGCGGGAGGAGCACCTCAGGCTCGCGGGTCGCGACCACGAGGACGACATCCCAGTGCGCGTCAGACGCCGCCGCGTGCGCGATAGCGTTGAGCATGCTCAGGAACGGTGTGAGCCCGATGCCTCCCGCGAGCCAGAGCATCTTCTCATTCGAGTCCTCAGGGAGCGGCGCGCCTGGCGTGGGCGGGAGCCCGAGGTAGAAGTCGCCTGAGATGCCGACGAGCTTGACCGTAAGTCCGATCTGGCGCGCATCGTCGAGTATCTCGGGGCGCAGCTCCTGCAGCTTGCGTACAGTGGCGAACAGGGCGCCGGTGATGGTTCCGTTCGGAATCTCGCGCATCGTGAGGTCAAACGTCTTCGTGCCTTCCGGCGCGAGGTGTGCGCTGGAGATGGTCCACGTTCGGACACGGTCGTCGTTGACAGCGGACGGCTTGAGGTCGGCCATGTGCTGGTACCCAGCTTTACCGACCAAGTCAGAGAAGTCGAGGACTGCGGTCTGGCCAGGTCGAATGTTGAGGGGCTTGCTTGTTTCCCAGGTGAACGTGGCAAGGTCTGCGCTGTGAACGCGCACGCGGGTGAGGGTGACCGAAACCTCCTCTTCGAAAAACTTGGATCCATTTGCCATCTCCTCCGCGAGTAGACGCACCGGAGGGCTATAAGGGCTGCGCTCGGGCTCCGTGCCAGGTCGCTGGCGAACGGGGAGAGCATCGCGAACGAAACGATATCCGGTGACTTCAAGAAGGGTTATCACCCCCTGACGTGGCATGATGGCCTGCGCCTCCTGCCCTACAGCTGTATGCGCCTTTCCAGTGATATAGAGTGTGTCCCCGGTCGCGAAGTCTACGATGGTGACGCTGGCAACAGGTGTGACCTCGATATTGCCCAGCGAACTCAGCACACGGTTGCCTGAAAAGAGTATAAGCGCTTCACACCGTAACGTTCATACCAAATCACACACCCGAGTAATCCGGAATAACAACCGTCCTCCCGTCTGATCTCATACGGACCCAGCCTGGTCTTCCGCCTCGTTGATTCGCACCCACATGCGAGGGGAACATTTTTGCTTCCTCAGGCGATGCCTCGTATGAAGAGCCAATGAAAATGGTGTCGCACTCGCGAACGAACTCGACTAGTTCATCCGGTAAACGCCCATCTTCCGGCAAGTTGTCGCACTTGTGGACGATGACAGGTAATGTGTCGGGGTAAGGATCGAGTGTGCGGATGTTGATGTATTTTGGACAATTTCTGAGCGGAGATCAGCGTTCGATCTGATATGATACAACGGCGGCGTACCCTATGGCTTCATTGACTATGAGCTTCAGTTGGAATACATTGTTGTCCTTTTGCATTGCGTAAACATGTCCTGCGAACTTGTTCCTTCGACGAGTGGAAAACTCGATGCCGATGCCCGCTGCGAGCAGTTTTTCGCCATTGAACAGCGTGTGGTTGTCCCAGAAGGGGTCTCCCTCCCAGACCTTGATCTCCATGTCCATGTGATTGGGCGAGGAGCTGTTGACGAAGCCTGGCTCGCCGGCTTTGCCGGCCCAGATGGACGTCCATGGACGGCCTCGGTCGTCGAGCGTGGTGACAGGAATGAAGGGTAGCCGTGTGCTGTGGAACTCACGATGTTGATCAGGCATGAAGTCCCGAATCCAAGTGTAGTTGTTGGACATGCTGGCTCCAAAGCCGAGCCGCTCTTGGATGATGCGCTCGCCTCTATGCCAGCCGAGGATGGGCATGATGAGTGTGGAAGCTTTGCAGGTAGGGATGGTGTTGCGAGGATGCAGCGAGCGGAAGCGGAGGTGTTATAAGTTCATCGGTGCTCGGAAGGACAACCCGGGGCCAGATCGCACAATAGCACGGAGGAGATGTCGATAGTGCGGCAACATCGTCTGACACACAATCGATGCAGCCAGCAACAAAAGAAGCGGGGGTATTCCTGGTGCCCTTTCGGGGCTTAGTGGGTGCACCCGGGGCCATGACCAAACGCGCGCGGGCTGAGCTGTCGATGAAGAGGCGCTTCTAGTGTAAGCACGCCACGCCGATTGGCAAGACCATGGGAAAAACAAGGACAGGCGGTGCTGCATGTGGTTGATATCGAGGATGCGATACACATCGCCGAGATGGCTGCTGTGCTGCTGGGATCCAGGGTCGCAGACAGGGGCGGCCGCGTGACGAGAGAACGTGACAGCCCCTCGTGAATGTGACAGTGACGTGACTCGTAACACACGCGTAGCTCCCAGAACGCGAACAGGCTCTTGCACCCGTGATCCTCCTCTCCCAGGCTCGCCCTTCGCAACACATTTCCCCAGGGAAATGTCAGAGCCAGGAGGGAGCAGTCTTGGAAGCCATGCCTTTCAGAGCATGACAGACGTCCAGCTGAGGCAGGCCATAACCCAGCTGTCCACCGCTGCAGGTCTTCGTCCTCAGCCGCCGCAAAACCCTGCCACAGCCGTCCCAGCGCAGGTCCATCCAGGTGTGTCCCTATGCACAGTCACGGAGACTGCCATTCTCAAACTGCACACCGCGCTAGCGTACATGAACAACATCAGGCATTGGTCAAACTCTGTAACGCCCCCTCCCGCAAATGGCAGAACAAACCCCAGCAGAAAGACTCGGGCCGCGAAAGGGAGCTCTTTGGCAGCAACGCCCCAACCTTCAACCAGCGCATATCCACCCACCATCCAGACGAACATCCCCCGTGTAGCGACGCCAAACGCCATGGGCATGCCCGCGGCTCTTGCTCAGGACCCTAGGGCCTACCCTCCACGATCTGCACTGCCCACCAATCCTCAGGCCCTGCGAACATCGTACGCTTCCCGCCTGCGAACAGGCGCCACCCTCCTTATGCAGCCCGTCCTCTCTGCACCAACCGCTGTAGCTGTGGCCACCCGGAGCACGCGCCGCGGAGGCTTCATTAACTACGCCGAGCCCGGCTCTGGCGACGAGTTTCCCGATGCAGGCGCCATCGACTCGGACGACTCGGACTTCATCGCGGGCGGCGGCGTGAAGACTATGGTGCGCACTACTGCCAGGCTACCGAGCAAGGCTCCCGTCGGGGCGGGCGTGTTCAGCGCGGGAGGGGTCACACACATCGTACAGGCCGCGCCGCAAACTCCAATGCCGGCACAGAGGACCTCGTTAGATCAGAGCTATCTCGGCAGGATTCCTCCGGAGAGGTTTATCGCGGCCAAATCCGCGCAATCGACGTCACTTCCTTACTTGTAAGTTGAGTTTCGGCGTTATGCAGAACTGCTCGGTTGACCGTGGTTTCTCCATAGCACGCCCGACTCCCTGGAAGTGCAAGCACGAAAGCCAGTTGCGCTGATCCCTATCCGCGTGGAATTTGAAACAGACGCACATCGAATTCGCGACTGCTTCGTCTGGAACTTGCACGAAGATCTGATACCCCCAGAAGTTTTTGCACGCACGTTCGTTCAGGACCTCGATCTGCCAGAGCACCCCTGGGTCGAGTTGGTAGCGAACCAAATCCGCGCGCAGCTGGAGGAGCACGAAGGCGTTGGTTCTATGGATTTCGACGTGGCTAACCCCTTTGGCCCCGGGGAGGACGAAGTACCAGAGTGTCGGGTCATCCTCAGCGTGAGTTTGCCTGCCGCCCACGCAAGAAAAACGATGCATATATTAACCTCCGCACCTCAGATTGACGTGCAAATAGCAACATACCACCTGCTGGACCACATCGAATGGGACCTGCTCTCGCCGCTCACGCCCGAACAGTTCGCCAGCCAGCTCTGCGCCGACCTTGGGCTCGCAGGCGAGGCGGTCCCGCTCGTCGCGCATGCGATCCACGAGGAGCTTATCAAGCACAAGCGCGACGCGATTGAGTGGGGCATCGTCGGCGTCGACCCGCACCCTAGCGCGCACGATGACCCCGACCGGCCGCGGGACCGCAGTGGGCTCAGCCTGCTCAAGGACAAGACGGGTCTCGGGCTTGGCTGGGGCCGCACGCCCAAGGACGGGCGCGGGCCCAAGTCTCTCAGGAGCGTGTGGCGGGACTGGGCGGAGACGGAGGAGTTCAAGACCCGGTTTGAGGTGCTCACGCCAGAAGAGGTGGAGAGGCGGGAGGTTGAGAAGGAGCGGGCAAGTCGGTGCGTTTGCGAATCCCAGCGGGATGACGCTGATTTGCTGATCACCTCTTTGCAGTCGTTTGCGGAGAGAGACATCAAAATTCCAGGGAAGCAGAAGACGACGATAGTCTCGGCACGCTCGTTTCTTGTTATTGTATATCTTACGTTTATAGTTCTAATACACCTTACGCAGTTTATTGTGATCATCACTTTACTTCAGGCGAGTCGCGGACAAGCAAGGCTGATAGTGGTCATGACTAGCATGGCATATTACGTCGAGCATATGAAGTATACATCGAATGACAGTAAGAATCAGCAGAATCAGCAACATGCTCCAGATCTGCTCTGAAGAAGATGCGTGTCCGTCAGCGGTGACGGCGGTGGTCATGACGAAACGCGTTATCTACGACGTCACGTTAGTTTCCACCACATGGCCACGCGAGTCACCATCGACGCACCGATTACAAGCCTAAGAGGCCTCTCCTCGCATACACCCTCACCCGAGGTGAGCAGCTCGAACAGGTCGATGTGCTCGTCGATGTCCTTGCCGGAGACACCCTCCCAGTGCACGCGCGGCCGCAGGTGCGAGGCGAGGAAGCCCTTGTCGAAGATGAAGTTCGTGACGTGTGCCATTTTGGGGCGTACGCCGCACTGGACGGAGTGGAGCGTCTCGAGCTTGATGCGCTGCGTCACGGTGGGCGTGCCGACCGCGACGGTGTACTGGTAGCTCATCCATAGCGCGGACGGGACGTCGGCTAGAGAGGGGCCACGCGGAAAAGAACGTAAGTCACTGTGACGTGGCATGCGACGAGGCGCGAATGCGTACCGATGACGAGCCGCATTGCAGTCTGCTGGCACCTGCCGACGCCCTGCCGGAGCAGCTCGTCGACGCAGATGCTGTTCTTCACCTTCTCGCCGTCGCCCTTCTCCCACCACGAGAGCGGGCGGAGCTTGTGGTCGAGGAAGCCGTGCTGGAAGACGTACTCGAGCACGTCCTCGAGGTCATGCAGCCGCTGCGCCTTTGTGTCGAGCTCGACGAGCTGCGACGTTGGCTGCTGGTGCCCGCGCGACGCCTGGTGGTAGCTGAGCCAGAGTTCCGTCATGGTGGATTTTGAGCAGACGCTTTGGTGGAAGAGGAAAAGTACAATGAGGAAGAGAGACGTGAGGCTGGACTGCTGGCTCGCTGAAGGACACGTTGGATTTTCAGAAGGTATTTATACGGCGTGTGGCGGGGCTCGACAAGCTCCGAAGCTAGCTTGTGGCACCGCTACGCCGCCCTGGGAATTTTCGCTTAGGCGGGAAACGTGAAACAGCTTCGCCGCCTGCTGTGCGTTCTCGCTAGGCGGGGCATTGACTGGACCGGCGGATTTATACTTCGCGAGTCGTCGCCGAAACTCGGAAGGAGAATCTGCAAGTCCAGCTGTTTCTCAGTGAGTTATGCGACACGAAACGGCTCCTACTAACGCAGAATCAAAATGCGAGCTCTGCCTAGATTTTTGCACTCACGCCACGAAATATTTGCTGTCCTGGGTTCTACAGCAGATGCCAAACTGAGCGAGGGGCCGACCTCCGGAGCGCAGCCAGTAAGCCATGACGTCACTCAGCCAGCCCCACCATCCCAAGCGCTCGTCCGGACGCGGTCTCTATAAAGTGGCACCTCTCTTCCTCGCACACCTCAACCAATCACCAGTAACCACCTCCTGCACGTATACAACATGTCTACCTCAGAACGCCCCTCAGCCCAGAGCCCCGCTGCTTCAGACGCGTCAGTCACCGGCGTGGTCAGTACATGTTCGTGTTTTAACTCGTAAGCTCGTCGCTGATGTTCTCCACCCATCGCAGGCGCCACCATCGCAGACGGTATCTCCCACACATGTGCATGAAGCGAGCCAGCAAGGTCCGTGCTGCCTTATGATGTCTCCCAAACCTCCTCTCACTCCCGAGCCAGGTGCAACGGCACCCGGCTCTGGCTCGACAGTTCAGGATTTACCAACACATTCAGACATGGACATCGATGCACAGCCAAAGACTTCTATGGCCGTAGATGGGGGTCACCAGCCAAACTTCAAGGAGAAGGTGGTCGGTATGTCTATGTTGTCCTGCAACTGGAAAGGGTTATCGTCTGACTTCGTGTTTCTTAGGATATGCGAAGGTGTGACAAGCTTTTGATTGTATAAAATTCCAGTAGCTCACCACCGCTATCCCAAATGTGCAGCAAGTGAGAGGAACGACGTTAGGAAAGGTGCGTATCCATCTGCTCGATTCCCTCAGCTCGCTCATTAACTTGAACGTGTCGTAGACCGAGCAGAAGGAGCAGGGCCAGCGCATTGTTCATGGCGATGAGCACTTTGAGCCCAAGAAATTCGGGTCCAAGGCTCCCTAGATGGTTTTCTTATGTGTGCGACTCGTTTTGGATCAGTACCGTCTCCTTGGCGAGTGTCAAGCTGCAAGTGTTATGTATAATTTACGTAATACCCTTTTCCGTTGTCTGTAAATGTGATGTACGAAGCGTCTACAGGTTGTACTATATAATGAATAGTTTATTCGTGAATTGCGAAAGCGGACGTGAATTATGCAGCATCTTCTGCTGGCAGTTCTCACTTTCAGAGCTGCATTTGGTGCCTCCGAGCTTCGTGGCGTTTTAGTCAATGCCAAGCCAAGTGATTGGCAGTGTCCGATCATCTGAAGCGCCCTCCAACACCGGAGAAATCTTTCGGAGGCAGAGCGCTTAGCGTGTTTCCAAAATGCCCTTGCCCCGCCTGTTCTTGACTGCAGTCCGCTTCACGCCTCTACAGTAAGTACATACATTACCCGGGACTATATCTCAGTATATCACAGACCCGGCAATAATTCTCAGCAAGCAAGATTAGAAGATGACTATCCTACGAGCCCCTAATCGCCAAACAACCGACGGCAAGGAGCCAGCCGTCTTGCTGGAGAAAAGGAAATTCACGGTGGATGCGAATGTCCCCATTAATCCTGTTCTAGTGACTTCAGAGCATGCGCACCGCGTATGTTGCCTGACTAATAATTGTCCGCCTTCTCATTTGTAATAATACACGCCGCAGGCTACCGGGCTAGTCGCTATCGATGACGAAGGTGTCAAAACAGCAGCACGCCACGTAAGTCTCTCCCCCTATTGCTGCACGCGGCTACTGGGCATTGATCCAACACCACTCTGCAGATAGGCAAAAGACTCGAGGTCGAGTCATACACACCACGCACATGGAGAAGCCATGCTCTCCACGTATGCCCTCCGGAACCGTATGATCCGTCTCATCCAGAGACGCGACGGTCGTTCGACTGGATCTTTCTCATCTCCTCGCTCAACTTTAGCTTCTGGTCAGAGTACGAGGGCACCCCGTACCGCTATGGTGTTGAGTGGAGGGAAGGCTGGGGTTCCGAGAAGGCAGTCGTGCACACAGGCTACTGGTCCCTCGTTGCTGCCATTGACAGAGGTGTGTATTCTTATCCATCAAATAATTCCGTCGATATATGCGTTCATTTGAGGTGTCCTGTCACAAAACTTGCTGCCTCTGCTAACGTTGCATGCTAGCGCTTGAGGAAGGGATCCCCATCACGGACCCCGCGTTCTATGCGTCCGAAGTTAGTTGCCCAGACTCAACGGTCTCACACGTCTTTCGCGCCGCGCCGCAGTCCGGGGAGGTCATCCCATTACTCACTGAGCGCATCGCCATTCTGCGGCAGAATGGGGAGATACTGTGCAAGGTGTGTCAAACTTAGCTCCGAAGGGTCCAAGAATCCGAGCTGAGTCACCGGGGCAGCATTTTGGCGGATCATTCCAAGGGCTCTACGAGGCGTTCATGGAGAGGACGAACGGGCGAGGAACCGCGCTCCAGCTCGTAAGGATGGTTGCAGACACGTTTCCGTCCTTCCAAGACGAGACCGTGTACAATGGTCAGCGAGGTCCGTCATCGCCCCCTCCTGTCTACGCCGAGGCTGACCGTTTGTCCAGTCTATTTCTGGAAGCGTGCTCAGATTCTGGTCGCCGAGACGTGGGCGGCCTTCTACCCGCCGACGCCCGCAGAGCCACACCCCCTCTTCCCAGGCCCCGCTGGCCCTGCCATGCATCAACTCACGATGTTCGCAGACTACCGCGTCCCACAGATCCTGCACCACCTGAAGATCCTCGTCTACCCGCCTGAGCTGACCGAGCTGCTGCGTTCACACGCAGACCTGCCTTCGGGATCCCGAGAAGAAGTGAGCATCCGCGCCGCGAGCATCCTCTCCGTCGAGCGTGTGCGCCAGGAGATGCTCAACGTCCAAAAGGATGGTGGCGAAGAGATCAGTAGCGTCCTCATCGACTTCTACTTGTGGGACCTCGCAAAAAAGATCGAGGGCGGGACAGACTGCATCAAGGGCATGCAGACGAACGAGATCCTACCCGCGCATCGTACACGGAGTATTTGGTATTAGAGGCAGGGATCTATTATATACAAGCAGGATACGTTAATGTGCTTTTGAAGTGGCCGCCACACCCACTGAAAACGTATGGCTTAACCCTTGAGATTCTTGAAATTGCGCTTCTCAGGCTCGACATACTCCAGGCCAAGCTCATGCACAATTTCATCTTCCGTTGCTGAAGGCAGAAGCTCCCAATGACCCTTCTCAGCGGTCTCGGCAGATTCGTCCTCTGTGCTCTCAGCACTCTCCGCGCTAGCGTCCGATAATGGGTGGAAGCGCCAAAGACCGAACTGGTTGAGAAGCAGGCCTTGTTGTTGCGCAGCTGTCGATAGGTATCTAACGTATGTGATATCGCCCGTTGAAAAGAGGAGAGCCGCGCCTTGGGACTTAGCTGAGACAGGCCTGAAACGTTATGAGTTACATGCGACGCCAGTGCAGTAAATGTTCACAACTCACTGGATGCGGAGCCACCTGAATACGCCATGGCGGTTCGCGATAGCCTGCAGCCTCGTTGCGCGTGTTCCCCAACTGCCGTGAGCATCCTTTGTAGGCACAAGAGAAGCACCATTCCAATCTAATGCTCCCGATTTGAACTGGTCAGCGAGAAGTCCACGCATCCCTAAAGGCCCAACGACCTGGTCCTCGAGCAATTTGGTGTCAGCCATTCTGTAGGCCTTCCAGGATATGCCTGCTATTTGTGCCACTGCCCCACTCGGAAGCCGGCGTTTTATGGGCAGTTCTGGGATGGGAACGCGAACTTGTGAGGGATGAACAAGCAAAATTGACGCCTCGCGCATTTTTTGGGCACCACGACGGCTACAACGAGGTGTCCATGAAGCGGCATGGGAATCAAGGATCTCTACACTCACTAGTCACCAACCGGTACTACCTCCCATGGTGCTAACATAGAATCCCGAAGGAAGTCCTGCGAGAGTTATCATCGACACAAGTGGGAGTCCATATAAGGAGCACTTACGACAATAGTCTCGACTTGAGCCCGCGTTACGGGCTGACTCAAATGGTCCATCCAAATCAGACCCTTTTTCTGCTGATTCCCGAGCATGTTGAAGTATGTGGGATTGTTACGTAGCTGCTCGAGAGTGGTGCAGCCTTGCTTGACCAATGCTGCAATCTTGGCAGAGCTACATAGGTTGTCAGCGCATGCACAAGGCGACGGTGTCAGGACGTGGATGTACACAGATGTCCATGGCAACGGCGTGCGCTCAAGCCAAGGTCAAAACTGCAGGCTTTTCGAATCGACCTAGCGCTGCGTGAACCTTCGCAGCAGCCACCGGGAGACAAGAAGGAATGTACCAGCTTACCCTAAACCAGGAATGGCCGAGAAGCGATCCTCATATTTCTTGTAAACATGAAGTTGGTCTTGCTTTTCTCGAACATGTTTCCGCAACATCTCTTCCGGCAGGGATGCACCCTGGTACGGGTATTAAACCAGGGGTCAAATGTATAGCCCGGCAGCATATACGCACTTGGTTTCCCCCAGCAGACAAGAGCGAAATTATCAAGCTCTTTCCTTGCCTAAAAAGCCTGTAGAGCTATTCTCCCGTGAGCTACACGAATGCAAATTCGGACGATATTGCTTACGTTCGTAACATCCTTAGGTGCCCGGACAGGGTCAGGATGTCGTGATATACAGCCTATGGCATTGGAGAACGAACGAAGCTTCGCTTGATCTTTGCTTTCGCTGTGCCACTCTTCTTCTCTAACTACGCGCCGCGTTGACGTTTATGTTTTGAAGTTAAGATGCAAGCAGCTTACGATGTTTCAATGTCTCTACTAGGTGTTCGTTGGCCGGGTTTACGACCGGGGTTTTCGGCCAAAATCGCTGTTTCGCAGAGGGGTTGTCATCGAGAGCGACATCGGAACGTTGACCATAGGAACGGCGGAATACCAAAGGACAGACGGCACGCGCGAAAGGGCGAGCGAGCATGTGGTCGGGAGCAAGTTGAATATTCTCGCGTAGACGCCAGCTGGCTCGCGTTTTGTTCAGGACTATCATGTCGTTTATACTGCTTCCACTCCTACGTCCGCTATGTACACTCTTCGTCTTTGCAATATTCTCCAATGGTCACAGTCAACTCAATGCTGATGTCTTCATGAGGCTTTCGACTGAAGCGATACTCTCCGGCCAGCAGCTTCCCTTGCAACAGACAGCAACTTTCAAACCCTTCGATGACCTGGAGGCCCTTACGGTCTCGAAGTACACCTCTCTGATGCACCCACAGTTTCCCAATTACAACGTTCGTGTCAAAAAGTCGTTGTTTTGCGACGGCTCTGTGAGGTCTGTCCTGGTGCTTTGGCGCTTGAAAAATGACTCATGGGCTGGGGTGCAGGGCATACACTGGCTACATTGACGTTGAAGCCCACCATCTATTCTTCTATTTCTTTGAAAGCAGGCGCGATTCTGCGCGTGACGACGTCGTGTTCTGGACAAATGGTGGTCCTGGTGGCTCATCTTCCGTTGGCCTCTTCATGGAGCTGGGGCCATGCCAAGTACAAAGTCCCGACAACACAACATTCAATCCGTATTCTTGGAACGAATATTCTAATATCTTCTTCATTGACCAACCTGTCGGTACCGGCTACTCTTATGCGGACCACGGGGAATACGTGAGCACTGCGGAAGAGGCTGCTAAAGATATTGCAGCCTTCGTCGCCATATTTTTTGAACATTTCCACCAGTTCAAGGGCCGCCGCATCCATCTCGCTGGTGAATCGTATGCCGTGGGTTCCTTCGGTGTGATCTGACTAGTACGCGCGATAAACGATTTCTGCAGGGGCGTATGATCCCTGTGTTTGCCTCAAAAATCTACGATCAAAACGCCTTACTTGAAGCGGCTGGTTTGACCCCGATAAACCTCGCATCCATAATGCTCGGTATGTGTGTAAGCGTGAATCATTGTTTATCCTGCCTTACGCCACATGCTTGAAGGTAACGGCTGCACAGAAGACGCGACGATGCTCCCGTCCTACTACGACATGATGTGCATGAATACCACTGTTCCACCGGTACTAGACATTGAGTACGTGGATCTCCTTGTTTGGCAAACGCTTCATGCTGAAAGCACTTTTCAGCACTTGTGTCAACGTCAAACGCGGTGTGCGTGCTGCGTTCGGCTGCAGCCGCCTCACTCGCTCACCCTTTGTAGCTTTCTCGTTGTTCCAAATGGCATAAGCAAGAATGTTTGGACAGAATGGATAAAACTCAATTGTCGTGCTGCGATGGCGTACTGCTCAGAAGTCATTGCCATACCCTACGACGCGTCAGGTGAGAACACCATTTGTCGTACACTGTATCAGCGCTGAAGCACCGCAGGCTTTAGCCCCCACGATCTCACTAAGAAATGGTGAGCCCTTTACACTTTCAGCTGCCCGTGACACGCTGACCAGAAATTAGTATTGGCCAGGGAACAGGCGGCATATGCTACGAAATTGTCGAGTATGTCTGAGCTCTGCTATGGAAATGCTTGTTTACTCACTTGTCCAGGCACATTGACAAGTACCTGAGTAAGCCCGACGTTCGAGAACAGCTCGGCGTCGATCCCATCGTACCTGCCAATTTCACTTCTACGAACCCTTGGGTTAAGGCGCGCTTTGACGCCAACCTCGATCATCTGTTCCCTACGCAGTACTACATTGCCGCCCTCCTCGAGCGAGGTGTGCGCGTGCTAGTCTATGTAGGAGCGAACGACTGGATATGCAATTGGGTGCGCGCTTTCTCCATTTTATCTATAGCTGAGCATCGCTCATGAGGTTATGCAGGTGGGCAACGAGCATATGACACTGAACCTGGAGTGGACAGGTCAAGAACAGTTTATAAGGGAGCCTTTGAAGGAGTGGTTCGTGGATAGCCATGTCGCAGGCCTTACTCGCACTGCCAAAGGTTTTACTTTCACGACCGTCTATGGTGGCGGACACATGGTTAGTTGTCCAGATTCTTAGGGTTCATAACGACTGATCCTGGCCTCAGGCACCCTACGACAAGCCTAAGGAGACCCTCGAGATGCTAAGAAAGTGGATATCCAAAGAGGCGTTCTGAGTTCACCGTCCTCCGCGCAGGAGCAGACATGCTCAAACTGAACCACACCATGTGAACTTGCTGGATTGATGCGCCAGCGCATGCCCGAACGCTCGAAGGGCTATTTAAAACAATGTAAGGTAATAGAGGGTGCAGGGGTTGTGCGAGCATTCGGAAAGAAGGTACGAGGCACTAGGGGGCCGGCGAAGCGTTTGCGAACAACAAGAGACGGGATGCGAAGGCGCGAATGCGAAGTTTCTAGAGCAACACAGAGTGAGTAAAACAATACACAAGCCGCGGGCAGCGGGCAAGTCTGTGACAGGGACGCAGGTCTAGTTTAGGTTTAGAGTGAGGAGTCTTCTTCTATTCTGTTGCTGTTCTGTGAGTACAAGGAGTTTGTATACTACAGCACCTGAGAAAATAAGAGAAATAGGGAGAGAAATGAATATTATAGCAATGCGGCCAGGAAGTACAGGCGAGAGACCGGAGTGCATCGGACGCAGGCTAGGACTGTTTAAGCATGAATACACGCGTGCTTCGTGGCGGTGCACATCAGGATAATGTCCCGAACAGGCTGCTTCTCGTGAGCTGTAGAGTTCGTCTGGGCCTACATATCGAGCAGGGCGCAGCCCCTCCTCTTGAACGCTACTTTGAAAGGAAGCGGGTGACTGAGGGCATCTTAGTGAGGTACGTAAGGAAGTTATTAATGCCTACCTGATAAGTCCTGACGTATATTCCGCAGTGGGTTCTATCACGTTTCCTGACTCGTCGACAGGTCTCTCAATGTTGAAGGACGTGAGAACGCTTGCAATGGACAACCAAATAGTGTCCAGGACGAAGTAGCGTCCAGGGCACAACCTGCGTCCAAAACCGAAAACTTCCATGGCGTCGGGGACATCTTCGCACAGCTGGCCGTTGCTGTCGAGAAATCGTGCTGGCTTGAAGCTCTCTGCATCGGGATAACGTTCCTCGTCGTGAAGAATAGCCCTGAAGCAGCGTCAGACTTGACAATCGCGGTTTGTCAAGACTCACCATATGTTTCCGATGATGACAGACCCAGCAGGGATATAATAACCTGCATACTCATCGGCTCTGGTTGATTTGTGTGGAACCCCTCCATGACGACAAGTTCGAATCACGCAGACCAATATATAGCAGGATTCACTTACCTAGTGGCCCAGGAGGCCTCCATCTGTAGTGTACTCAGCAGCCATGTCATCGGGGTAAGGCCGAGCTCACCTGAGCACTTCTTTCATTATAGCGGTAACATATGGGAGAGAGTCTCTATCATCAAACTCTGGCAAACGATCATTGCCTAGGACATGGTCCAGTTCTTCTTGAGCCAGCCGCTGCGCTTCTGGGAAGAGCATCATGGCTAGAATGAATGATTCCAAGGCTGCGCTTGTCTATTTTCTCAGGTTAAGTTGGTGCATCTCGAGAAAAATTATGCTGTCTGTTACTTACAGTGTCCACTGCGGCTATGACATTCGCGTGATCAGAACTGAGTGCCTTTTAAAAGCTTAGATGCCAATCTTACCGCCGTACCCAGTCCCCACGGTGTTGATAACGACCTCCTCGAGTATAGGATCGATAGGTGCCGTTCTATCTTTACACAGCTCCGCAAGTATCTCAGTCGTTACGCAAGGTGGCGCAGTGCCGGCCTCCTGGATATGGGGTAGATGTCTGGCTGTGCAGGTTGTTGTAAGAACGAAAAGGATACTCACGAAAGCAGCTTTAACCTCTCTATAGGGGCGCAAGTACATTTCTTCTACCATGGGGCTCCAAGCCGCAGCGTCACGCTTGAATTTGGCACTCGGAAACCATGCAGGCAAGAACCTCACTAAGGCACCTGTGAACGGGGCAATACTGGCACGAGAAGATCCACAGCTCACAGATAGGGAAAGAATCAACTGCGCGGAAATGAGCAATTGCGGGCAAATACAGAGTGAGAGGTCGTCTTACCAAGGTACACCCCGGGATTTGCGACGGCTGAAAAGATTCTGAGGGCATCCTCTATGAGCCCTAGAATGGGATCGCCTTCCGGCTTAACGTCTATACCATACATAGTCCCCAGGACGTTGCACGCAGTCAAGCTGCAAAGGCGAGGAATTCAAAAATCAGGCCTTGCACGCACGGAATATGAATACTCACAAGCTGATATGTTCCTTGAATCGCTCTGGCGTCTCGCACAGCGAACGAAGCATCTGACGCACCGCTCGTGTTGATCGCGGTCGATAGGCAGGTACGGCACGTTCGCGGAAGTGCTGGTGGAACATCTTGCGATGTTCTCTCCAATAATTGCCATATTTCATCATGCCCCAGTTCCGTCCCCAACCCGTTCTGGACAAGTCCGTTTGAGCCTCCATGATCCTGTACTGCAAAGAAAATTTAACATACAGCTGTATCATGATTGCTTCGGGTCTTGCCACAGATAACATGAGCGCAAACCAGGCCGGTCGCCACAGTGCTTACTTGTCGGAGTAGACATTCGACCGTCGCTCGAACAAATCCACGGTCGCTTTGCAGGAATTAAGCACCACATAGTGGGTCCCCAATATTTCGAAATACAGCACATCCGAACCTTAATGAGAGAACATGTCAGGGGGACGATCGTAGGACGCCGTTAAAGACGCACCATACGCACGACTCCATCGTTGGAGGACTAGATGAGCGTTCTCTTTTGGAACATCGAGGATGCTTCCAACGAGGGGAAGTCGTCTGGGTCCTGGGGGTAGTGGATAGGACCTTTGTCGCTGTCTGGACGACACGAATAACAAGACAAGACCAGCCACAAAAAAAGCAAGTGGGAGGGACATGTCTCCTGCCTTCTCCTGCACCATACTAGCAAGGAGCGATTCCAGAAGTGCGGGCACTTTGAAAATGCATGAAGGCTGTTTTAAGCTCTCTGGGGAAAAGGTCAGCAAATTTTACGGGCGCCGGTCCTGGTATTCTGCCAAGGGTCCAGTGGCAGCTGTCACGGGGAGCATCTAACCCCGATCATACGATTCAGCGAGCTCTAGTACCTTACGGTCTGTCCAAAGAGGTCGTATGTAAACTGATTGAATGAAAGTGAACGAAGAGCTGAGCACTCTAACGTATGATATTGAGGCATAGGCTGCAGCCATGCAGCTGCAAAATTCGTCGGGCAGGCCGATGTACTATCCTCAAGCGTCGGAGGCAATCACATTATACGCCATCGTGAGTGCGAGAGTACTTCTCATCTGAGACGATATAGTGCCTACTTGATAGATCCGGATTAGTTTAGATCCAACGCCAAGATTGAAGCTAGCAGCATCGTACCAGCAGGTTCAATTTCAATGATAACCTACTCCTGGGGCTTTGGGGCCCCGCTCCAGCATGTCCAGCGGCGAGCGCGCCATCCGGGCCAGATTCAGTCGTCAGCCAGCACATTGCTAATCCGGAGCAAGCAGCTAGAAGATCGGATCTCGTCGCCGGTCGGTGGGTCAGAAACAAGAAAGCCCTGGTACAGAGATTGCTTGTAGATCGCGGATGATGGCGGTTTACGTCACCACCCAGAAAAGGGGGCCAAGTGCAGCGACCTTGAAGCTTGAAGCTTGAAGACTCAAGGTCAGATGTCAGCCTTGAGTCACTGGATAGGACTTTTGAACCTTCGCAGCCTAGTTATCGTTATGATAGCATAATGTACTACCAAATTCTCAATCCTATCATACGGGGCTGCCAACGCCGCCTCGCACTTGTTAAACTTCGAAAGTAATGGGGAACTTGAAGCCGCGAACTCTCTCAGCAGTCTCAGCATATCCGAAGAGCTACTGTACGTATGCAGTGCAGAGACTATCTCATGCCTTAATGCAGTCCCGGCCTATTCTCCTCACTTCATCTGAAACTGCATACGGGAGCTATGCAGTTTGAGACCGCACGTGGGCGCTACAGGGCAAACGCGATGGTCGACCGCGGTTTGAAGACAGCCTTGAAAGGAGCAGGGTGACTGACAAGGCTTCAATCACTACTAACTCGCACACAAAGAGCAGGTACCACACGTACCTGACAAGTCCGGAAATGAATTCTCCAGAAGGCTCCACAACGTTCCCCATCTCATCGAAGGGCTTTTCAATCGTGAAGGCCGCGAGGACATTAGCAGCCGTCAACCAAATGACGTCCAATGCGAAATAACGTCCCGGACACATTCTTCTGCCAAAACCGAAAGCGCTGGATATAGTGTTCGCTAGGTGCTCGAGCAGACGTCCGTTTGAGTCGAGGAAGCGATTGGGGTCGAAGGCATCCGGATTGGGAAACTGCTTATCGTCGTGGAGAATGGCTCTGCAGAGCCCAGCAGGTCATGAAAGGTGTAAAATCACCATACGCGGGAGATGACGCACCGTGCATTTCCGAATATAACAGTCCCAGCAGGGATATGATACCCTTCGTACTCGTCATCTGCACTCGATTTATGTGCGTTACCTAGTAGCCAGTCACGGTATCACTTCAGCCATTGCTAGCATTCACACGCGACTCTAAGTTTGTGTACCTATGGGAAGTACTGGCCTCCATCTAGTGCTTATAGAGTTGGTTCTTGACCGCCTCTTGTCAATTATATGTCACGCACCGTAATGTCTCCCTAACAAGAGCAGTGATATATGGCAGCGACTCTTCATCTTCTATCACCGGCAGACGATCTGTGCCTATAACTTGGTCAAGTTCCGTCTGAGCTGCAAGCTGCACTTCTGGGTACAGCAGCATGGCCAAAATGAAGACCAACAACACCGATCTGCTCTAAGAGTAATGGTCCAGTGAGCGATTCAACGGAGATGGCTCGGAGCTGCCTGCTCACCGTATCAGACGCCGCTGTAACAGCCGACAATCAGCATAGACTTAAGGTCACCAAGTACTGTTTACTCGAACCTGCATTTACGGTACCAGTAGTGTTGATAATGACTTGCTCCAGAATTTCACTCTGGAAATTTGCTCCATCCTTATAGAGCTCTGCCAGCATTTTCGTCCCAAGACACGGTCTTGGCACTCCCTTCTCCTGGTAATGAAGTAAAGCCCCACCATTTACTGGAGAATATTTGATAGCACATACATAGGCGGTCTTTAAATCACTGTATGGTTGCATGTACATCTTGTCGACCACAGGCTTCCAAGCCTCAGCGTCACGCTTGAATTTGGCGCCCGGGAACCACGAGGGTATGAACCTCACTACGTAGTTTTAGATGAATATGACGCACCGAGAGGGGAAGTCTGGAACTTACGAAGAGGAAACGAGTCCACTAGGTGCATATCTCAGCAAAAAAAATGCTACGCATGAGGCTTATCGGCACGATACCAAGATACACTCCAGGATTGCCAAAGTTCCGCAAGATGTCGAGAGCTTCTTCCACAATTGCGAGAGTTGGGTCACCTTCCGAATTGATATCCACGCCATACACGATTCCGATGATATTATACGCAGTCATGCTAGTTCAGGGGAGCGGGGAAATTGAATATACGGGAGTTGGACATTGGCTGGCCACTCACAAGTGAATATGTTCGATAAAACATTCTGGCTCGGCGTAGAGTAAGCGAAGCAGCTGGTGCACCGCATTTTCTGTCCTTTGGTGATATGCGGACACGACGTTTGAGCGGAAGTGTTGGTGGAATATCTTGCGATGTGCCCGCCAAAAGTCACCATATTTCATCAGGCCCCAATTCCTATCCCAGCCGGTCCTGTTACGTCATCAAAAGCTGCAGACTTTGACCCAGGATGGTCGTACTTACAAGTGAAGCATTGCTGCTTCTGGTCTACGTTGGTAGAATATCGGTATGTGTTCGGAAACTTAGGGAGGTAGGTGCTTACTTATCTGAGTACAGGTTTGACCTCTTCTCGAAGAGCTCGGTCGTAGCCTTCGCGGAGTTGAGTATCATGTAATGAGTCCCTAAAATCTGGAAATGCACAACATCCGAATCTGCTAGGAGACCAATAAGAGATACGCAACAGGAGATCTTGCAGGATACGTGCCATAAATTCGACCCCATTCTTGAAACGTGCGCCATTCGTGCTCCTTGGGTGCATCAAAGATATTCCCTAAGATAGGAAGACCTTTGGGACCGGGTGGAAGTCGTCGACGATCGGGTCTATTGAGGACAGCAACGAGCAGGCAGACTACACCGACTGCTAGAGGAATCAGTGGAAGAGACGTCTCTGAGGTCATCTCGTCTGTGTGAGGGGGCTGCAAGGTGGGGCTCAACCAGATGCTACGGCTTATGTAGGATGTGTAAGATTTATCCTGTTCGTGGCTGCATCTGCCGGTGGTCACAGAGCAACGAAAGGCGGCTCGAAAGAACAATAATAGTGGTGCGCGTTCAAAATTTGCTTCTCTTCTTTTGGGAGAACCATGGTCACCATTGTACGGCTCGTAGAGATCTGCCTGTCGGACTGCGTTATGGTCATTCGGTCGATCGGATCACAAGATACGTACGAGACGTCCTGAACTATAGCGACACCCTCGATGCACTCCTGACGACAGATACCTCCAATGAAATGTGTCTGAATTGGGGGCAGAGAGCGGCGGAGACCTGAAAACCGTTGCACGTATCACAAACCGAGCCGCATGGGAAGATATCGTCACACAGCAGACACGCTATAGAGCCCTACTTGTAAACGCGCAAATCGGTATATCATCTGCGAAACGTCGGATCTGTATTGCTCTCGGCATCCTGAATCTCGAAGCAGCTGCCCATCGCAAATCCAAACTTCATACAAACGGCCAGGTCACGGCTGAATGGCGCAAAGGATATTACTATTGAGAGGTTGTAGTAGTAGGCTGTGTCTTACATACACATATGTTCTCTTAATCCACAACAGAGTCGGTAGTTGTGACCGGTAGATGACCTCTTTACGATGTTCTTCTCAGATCGGAGGACCGTAGCGCGCGTGCGGCCTCACAAGTTGACCAAATAGTTACTGCCTCAAGGGGCCCGAGCGAGGACGTAGGAGTTCACTGAGATCGAAAGAGTACGAGGTTAGGTGCCGGTTGCGGAACTGGTCGGGACTCGGAGACCTCCGGCATCCAGAGCCCTTGTGGCACGGAGACGACTCTAGGGCGGGGTGAATTCGTGTCACCAAGATTTGAAGGGGTCCTGGGTAGCGGATCGCACTCGTGAATTTGAGACTTCCGGGTGCAACCAGACCGATAACCTCGAAGTGCGCGCCGACGGGGAGGGGTGGCCGAAGTGAGTAGAGCAAGTGGCATGTGAAGGAGCACCCTGAAAACTAGTTGTCCGCTTTGCTTGGGGTCAGGCTCGAAGGCGACGTGACGTTGCCATTCGGCACCGAGAGCAGAAAGCTCTACCAGCGAGCAGCAAAGTTGGACATACATGTAGTGCGCGCGTTGCGGCAGGATTCGAGCAGGCCGTGAGTTGGTTGCGGTGAAGTTGATACTGGTGTCTCGAGACCACAGCCGCAGCGAAATGCTAGTCGACGCGCCTGACAATGCGACAGGTGGGGAGGGCAGACTGGCGACCAGAGGTTTTCAACACTGGCATAGGGGTTAGCGGGCTGCAGAATCGAGCGGGTGAGGGCGCAGCGGTCACTCAGAGCAGGCTGGGTGCACGCTTCGTGTTCGCTCATCAGAGCTGCGTCCAATGCGTCCGATGGTGCAGCGTCACCACTGGCCGAGTGCGCGTGCACCCTGTGAACGGGTTTACGCCCTGGGCTTGAAGTGCAGATGAACGGGGAAGGGCATAAGAGATTGAAATGTGTGCATCGGACTCACCGGGCTCACCTGTCTTGCGCCGTAGAAGACCCGCACCTCAAAAATGTCCAACCTTGCGCCCCACCCACGAATGGCGGCGGCGATGATGACGACGATGGTGTTAGCTTGACCGGCAAGCGAGCAGGAGCGTGCGCGCAGGGAAAGCATCTGTGCCTGTGTGCGAGCAACGCATCGAGAGAGGTCCCGCACACAGGTGGCGATGGGGGAGACGGCTGGCGGGGCGAGCACTGATGATGGCCAGAGGATCTCGGGCAGCGAGCGGGGTGAGCGTGTGCACACAGACGCCCGGTTCGGCTCGGCGTTGGCGCCTTGCGGGACTAGCCCTGGTGGACCGACATCGGACAGCCAACGATTAATATGTCGCGGAATGATTCACCTACGACGATACCCTCATTCCAACTACTCTCGTTTACTAGTACTGTCTCTTGCCAATAGCCAGCGAGCACCTCAGCAAGCTACGCCATGAGAATTCATGCACGCGACTCGAGGCCAAAGAAGCCGACATACTCTGCATAGGGAAGACAGCATGTCAAGCTGCCTAGATATCGATTAAGTGCGCGAGTATTTGAAGAGGGAAATCGTGACTAATTCCGTATATACACTCCGTTTTCCTGAGGCTTAGGTCAAGCTGGGACAACAAACGTCGCGCATGAATCTAGCATCAGGGACAAAAATAAAATAAACTTCGCAGCACGAGACATTGCGCGTTACTCGCGGACGCGGGGATCAAGCGCAAGGGTCAATTTGAAGATATAGAGTGAAGATATGGACCGTCAGCCCCTGCAGTCGAAGTTTTAGACCTGAGCAAACTAAATCTTGTGATAATGGTATGGTGCGCTATTTCTCCATCGCATTATGCAGGGATGTCACGGTTTCCTCGCAGCTTGAAGGCGGCTCTGAAAGGGGCAGGAAAACTACAGGATTATCAGTATGTATGCATAAGCAGAAACACCGAGTATACCTGAACAAACCCGTCGTATACACCCCAGAAGGTTCGATGACGTTCCCCAGCTCATCGACAGGCTTCTGGATGGAGAAGACCGCTAGGATATTCGCCATTGCTAACCACATAAAGTCCAAAGCGAAATACCGTCCAGGGCACATTCTTCGTCCATAGCCGAATGCCTCCATAGGATCGAAGGCGTCTTTTTGCAATCTGCCTTCTCTATCGACAAACCGGTAAGGATTAAAGGTATCTGGGTCTGGATATCGTTCCGCGTCATGCAAGATAGCCCTAATAGTGCACATCAATATTAACATTAAAATTTTCATAGCAATGTTTTGCCACTACTCACCATGTATTACCGATGATAACCGATCCAGCAGGAATATAAAACCCTTTATACTCGTCGTCTGCCAGAGATTGGTGAGCAACCCCTGCGCGCAAGTCGTGTGCAAGCTTGGCCATTCGGTAGGACACGCACATGTCCAGCGCTAGATACATACCTAACGGCAATACAGGCCTCCACCTGACATAGATACAGTGAATGTCTTGTTCTCGAGGGCCGCAATTGAGAACGCACCGGAGACATTCTTTCATGATTGCAGTGATGAATGGGAGGGCGTCTTGATCCTCCATCTCTGGCAATCGATCCTGACCAACGATGCCATCTAGTTCTTCCTGAGCTCTTTTCTGTAATTCAGGGTGCATTGACATGGCTAGGACGAACGTGAGTAGAGTCGAGGTGGTCTATTAAATGTCAGCGGAATCTCTCTTAAATATATCACCACTAATTACACACAGTGTCAGATGCCCCTACGAGAAGAGCAATGGGTAGCAGTCCATGAGATTGCGCCACTACACACTCACCAGCATAAGCTGTTCCCGTCGTTGTTATGATGGGCATGGTGGCGTGGGATATCATTTCCTTTTTCGTCTCTGACTCTAGTTTAGTAGTACTGCCTTTGTCGACTCATAGAGCGCAGCTTCACTGACTCACCCGCAGTCCCTTTGACTAGTGGACTAGTCCTTAGGTTAGGCTGAGCAGTAGTATAAATACCCTGCGCATGTACAGTAGCACCCCAGCTTTCAGCTCTTTCGTATATTCACGTTTCTTTATTCTGCTCTAACCTCATCTGCGGATAAGGCAATCAGACAAGCTTCAGGCTTGCTAAGAAACCTCTGTCATAACATTAGCTGAAAGCTTCTCAACAAGGCGGACCTAAGACAGGTCTACGCCACGAAGAATAGTCAAGACGACTACTCCACAAGCAACTGGGGTGAACGACTGCGCCACAGCAGCACACAGACATAACCTTAGGCCTGACAATAGGCACAACTACCACCGATACGACGAAGGACATTGGAGATGTTGTTTTCAACAACTCTGCCCCAACCGATACTACGCATACCAAGGAACAGTACAAGTACCACAAGGACTCGTCCTCTGCGAACCAGCACAAGAAGAATTCATCTGAGAAAGGGACAGGCTTAACGAAGAAGCCAGGCTTAGAGAAGAACAAGCCCAACAAGTAACTCAACTATCCGCCAGCGTACCACCATCCAGACACAGACACCACACCCATA